GCGCGGGTAGCGCAGGGCCCGCGAGGGTCTCAGGCGACAGTGGCCGAACCAACTTGGGGCAGGGCATATGCGAGGTCGTTGTCTCAGACGAAAGTGGCCTGAAGAGGTCAGCTATAGGCGTCTCGGAAGCCGCTGTTGCGAGGATGTCGCAGGCGAAAGTGGTCGGACCGCCATGGGGTGGGGCACCTCCGAAGTCAGAAGTGCGAGGGCGCCCCGGGCGAAAGTTGTCTGAACATCGCATCCCGGGGCAGATCGGGGGTCAGACTATTTCAAGGCTGGGCGCATCCCCCCAGGTGAACGAGGCGAGTTTTTGCGTGGGCGGAAATGGCCAGCACAATTTGGGGCAGGGCATATCAGAGGTCAGCGCTGCGAGGATGTCTCAAGATGAGGAAGAGGAAGGTCATGCTGATGATAATGATGACGATGGCGGCAGCCGCGCGGGAGGTATAATCTGGCGGGGCAAATTTCGGTGGGGAGCAAAATCTGGCGCGCCATTTTGCGCTGGCGTCGCGTGTCCTATTGCGGATCCGGGCGCAACTCTCAGCCATGCGCGGCGGCCCGTATGATAAACCACCCGGGCCTTTAAACCAACGGGACGTCATCGTCTGCTCTTTGTGCGACCGGCGAGTCGGGAAGCCATGCTGGGCCACCCATGTGAGGGATTGTGTCAGCGCTTCCTCTGCGCCCGCGGTTGGGCCGCAGTGGTTGGGCCTTGATCCCAACCGTGCGCCAGTTCAGTTTGTTGCTCAAGGACTGCCTGTTGCCCTTCGCGCCGATGCGCAGATAGCGGGGGATAAACTGAAACAGTGCTACCTCCGGATGGGGCAAGCCTTCGCGCCCGACCCCCACATCAGCGGGGCTTGCTACTTTTGCGGTTGGAGCTCCTTCAAAGGTGCGTGGATGGGGCCCGAGGGTTGCAGCGTCGGCGCGCTGTTCTTCTGCGCCGCGTTCATCGACTCGCTGTTCGAGACGAAGGCTTTGACGGGCGCGGCGCAATTCACGACCAACATGGGCGTGGATTCTAGCAGGCGCTTGCCACATTCCCGTTATCTGGCCCAAGGTGGGAGTGCGTTCGTGCAGCGGGGTGAGAATTACTGCCATTCCAAGCGGCCGGCGCCCGGTGAGCCGCGCGTGGTCCACGTGCCACCGGCCGTTACTTCTTCCAGACACTGGTGGGCGCACTCCGCGTGTACGACGCAGCGTGCGACCTGCTCTAGCCGCGGGTGTGCGTCGTGCGAACATTGCTGCTTGCGCAAATTGCGATTCGTGTTCAAGTTCGCAGTGGCTGCGCTGTACCAGTCTGACAGAAAGCCTGTGAGTTCCCAGGTGCGCGTTGTGCTCGGGCACAGGCCGTTCCGAATCCTCGGCGGCCTCGACGTAGTTTTCTCGCCGTCGCAAGAGTTCTGCATCTGGGCGCCGCCGCGCGTGGACGGCGACAAGTGGCCTTGGATAAGCTTTATTGTATTCGGCGACTAAGCGGCGACTCGGCCCCGACCCCTGCCGCTTGGCGGGGGCTGCGCGCAGCCATGCCCGCGGGTTCGGGCGCGGTCCGGCGGCGGGGGCCGCCAGCGCGGCGACGGGGGCGTCCTGGGCGGCGAGAGCTGCCTTTGATCCTCGCTCAGCGGCGCGAGCGGTCCGGCGGCGGGAACTGCCCCCGCCCGTCGCTCGTGCGAGCGGCCGGGGCATTTTTAAGAGGCGGTTTGCGCGGCGAGAGCTGCGCCGTCTCGCTGGCGCGCGCGGGCGCTGTTGAGCGGCGAGAGCTGCAAGCGCGGCGACGGGGGGGTCCTGGGCGGCGAGAGCTGCCTTTGATTCTCGCTCAGCGGCGCGAGCTGCCCGCGCCGCGGAGCGCGTGGTGAGAGCTGCCCCCGACCGTCTGGCATTGGACTGGTGGCGATTGGCTCCGTCTGCTTTGTCCTCCTCCTCCTCCTCCCCCTCCCCCTCCTCCTCCTCCTGTTCCCCCATGTTCATCCCCCGTCCCCTTCGTCTTCCCCATATCCTCTTCTTCCTTCCCCCCTTCCCTCCCCCCCCCCCCTCCTGAGGCCCAGGGGATTGGGCGATGGGCCTGGGGGCGCGCCCGCTCCGCGCCCAGAGGCGCGGAGGCCAAATCTGGTCGGGCATTTCGTCGCCCGCATGTGGTGCGAAAACCAGGGCATGGCGGCGGGCATTTGGTGCGATAGCCAGGCTGCGCGGGCCCCGCGCCCCGGGTCCACGTCTCATCTCTCCCCTCCCCTCCCTCTTCAGGATTGGGGAATTTCGAATTTCCTATCTCTTCTTCTCCCGGGCCCAGTGCCCAGGCCCACCCAGAAAGAAAAACTGGAAAGGGGGGGGGCGGGGAGGAGAGATGGAGGGAGGGAGGGTTGGATTCGATTCGGGAAGGGGCATTTGAGAAAAGAGGGGATGGAGGGGTGGAGGGAATAGGGATGGGGGAGGGGGATTGGAGTTGGGAAGGAGGGGTGGAGGGAGGAGTGGCGGGGGGAGGGCGGGGTTGTGGGAAGCAAAATCTGGCGGGGCATTTCGGGCTAGGACGTTTTCGGTTTCTACGGCGCTTTGGCGGGGGTGCCTCCAGCTCCCCCTTCCTCTCCTTCTCTGGGCTTTGGGGGGGGGGTCGCATTTCCCCTCTCCTCCTCCCCCGTCCTCCTTCTCCTTCCCCCCTCGGTCTTAGCCGTATCAGGTTATCACTGTAGCGCGAGCTGCGGCGAAAGCTGCTGGCGTCGCGTGTCCTATTGCGGATCCTGGCGCAACTCTCAGCCACGCGCGGCGGCCCGTATGATAAACCACCCGGGCCTTTAAACCAACGGGACGTCATCGTCTGCTCTTTGTGCGACCGGCGAGTCGGGAAGCCATGCTGGGCCACCCATGTGAGGGATTGTGTCAGCGCTTCCTCTGCGCTCGCGGTTGAGCCGCAGTGGTTGGGCCTTGATCCCAACCGTGCGCCAGTTCAGTTTGTTGCTCAAGGACTGCCTGTTGCCCATCGCGCCGATATGAAGATAGCGGGGGGTAAACTGAAACAGTGCTACCTCCGGACGGGGCAAACCTTCGTGCCCGACCCCCGCATCAGCGGGGCTTGCTACACTTGCGGTTGGAGCTCCTTCAAAGGTGCGTGGATGGGGCCCGAGGGTTGCAGCGTCGGCGCGCTGTTCCTCTGCGCCGCGTTCATCGACTCGCTGTTCGAGACGAGGGCTTTGACGGGCGCGGCGCAATTCATGGCCAACATGGGCATGGATTCTAGCAAGCGCTTGCCACATTCCCGTTATCTGGCCCCCGGTGGGAGTGCGTTCTTTGCGCTTAGGGGTTTCGCATTTCCCCTCTCCTCCTCCCCTTTCCTCCTTCTCCCTCCCCTCTCGCGGAGTCTTGTCGGGGCTCTGCTCCTAGTGGAGTCTTGTCGAGGCTCTGCTCCTGGGGCCCATCGCCGTCCGTCCTTGCCCCCGCCAAAGCGCTGTAGAAACCGAAATCGTCCTAGCCCGAAATGCCCCGCCAGATTTTGCTTCCCACAAACCCCGCCCTCCCCCCGCCACTCCTCCCTCCATCCCTCCTTCCCAACTCCAATCCCCCTCCCCCATCCCTATTCCCTCCACCCCTCCATCCCCTCTTTTCTCAAATGCCCCTTCCCGAATCGAATCCAACCCTCCCTCCCTCCATCTCTCCTTCCCGCCCCCCCTTTCCAGTTTTTCTTTCTGCATGGGCCTGGGCATTGGGCCTGGGAGAGGAGGAGACAGGAAATTCGAAATTCCCCAATCCGAAAGAGGGAGGGGAGGGGAACAAGGGAGGGGAATGGGGGACGGATGTGAGAGTGTGGGCAGGAGGGGAAGAGGGAGGGAAGACGAGCTCCCCAGGAATGGTGGTCAGCTGGAACGCCGAGAAGGGGCTCGCGGGGGCCGCGGCCCTGCGCGCGCAGAACCATGGGCGTCGGGGCCAGTGAGGGAGGGAGGGAGGAGAGGGAGGGAGGGAGGATCGGAACGGAGGAGGGAGGAGGAGGAGGAGGAGGGAGGAGGAGGAGGAGGAGGAGGCAGAGGCGGAGGAGGACTAGGAGGAAGAGGAAGGGGAGGCGGAGGAGACTAGGAGGAAGAGGGGGAGGGAGGACTAGGAGAACCATGGGCGTCGGGGCCAGTGAGGGAGGGAGGGAGGAGAGGGAGGGAGGGAGGGAGGATCGGAACGGAGGAGGGAGGAGGAGGAAGAGGGAGGAGGAGGAGGAGGAGGAGGCGGAGGCGGAGGAGGACTAGGAGGAAGAGGAAGGGGAGGACTAGGAGGAAGAGGAGAGAGAATTTCGAAGGATTACCCATTGGACAACCACGACAACGCCGGGCCGATAAACCGACCAACCGATCAACCGATAAACTGAAACATCCGATATACCGATAAACCGATAAACTGATAAAGCCAAGCTGTGCTGAGATTCGGGCACGCATGCGATGAGTCGGTTTAGTGGTTGTCGGTTTATCGGCAGATCGACCGATCAACCGATATAATCATATCGGTTTATCGGTCGATCTGCCGATAAACCGATCAACCGAAATAGTTTATCGGTTGATCGGTTTATCGGTTTGTCGGTTTTATGTTCGTGTCCTGCGGCTGCAATCTATATATATATACACACGAACATGCAGGTGTCTATACGTGTACATATATGCATATATATACACACATAGTTGCTCTTCCCTGGCATGGCTATGTGTGTGGAGCCACGGCCACGGGAGCATGGCGGGAGTAGTCCGACACTGCCATGCAGAGGCGATGCTTCCGGACACGAGTAAACACCGTTTCGTGCACGCACTGTTTGAAAAACGCATGCCGGAGGAGAGAGATGGGCATCAACCTGACTCTCGGAAGTCCGTGCGGATTTGTTGGATTGGCGCTGGCCACCCCTTGACTGCGCCTCTGGCGCCACTTGCGGCGCGCTCCGCGCGCCAGAGTGTGGGTCCCGCGCCGATGCAGGAAATCCGTGCGAATGTCCAAAAGTTTTCGTTTACGCCTCTCTGTCTTTGTTGACCATGGAAAACCAGGCTTCACATGGTGGCGAGGAACATCCACGCTATGCACGGCATCGGGCGGGAATCGATGGTGGAGCTCCGCAGAGACGCCACGGGAATCGCTCGTTGTCGGGCGCTCGCTCGGTCCCTGACGCACGGGCACCAAACGGCCTTCGATGTCGTGATCGGCTTAGTCATACTGGTAAACTCAGCGTTCATCGGCTTGGAGATCGATCTGTCATTGGCGGTGCTAGATGATCCAAGTGTCACCGATGCAGTACCCGGGTACTTCAGCTTGGTGGAGAGCCTGTTCCTCTTCATTTACTTGTTCGAACTGTGCGTACGCTTCGCAGCCGATGGCAAGGATGTCTTCCGGAGTGGCTGGTTCGCGTTTGACTTGACGCTCGTCTGCATAGGCTTGGCGACGCGCAAGGGGGTGGCGCGAGGGGGGCGGACTGCTAAGAAGCTTCCGAGAAGACTCAACAGCCATCCGGGCCTTTTTAGGAAGGCCCCCTGCCTTCCAAAATGCCCCCCCTCCCTCTTGAAAGGCCCCCCCCCACCCCCCCCACCGAGCGCCCCGCCCCTTCGGTGGCCCATGTGCAATGCACCACGCTGGTTTGGCCTTCCCAAATTGATGTTTGCAAGGTCAGTTTGGAAAGTTAGTATCCCTTCCATAGCCGGTACCAGATACTCATTCCTATTACTAGTTCCCCTACCCATGAACTCTACCGGGTCGTTTCGTCAGTTCATGCGCTTGCGTTTTTGCTCATTTTGTATAAGTTGGAGGGCTTCGGGGCGTTTGCCAGTGCGTTCCCCCTGTTGTAGCTTCGGGGTGGCCGATGTGCCGAAGCGTGTGAGTTCATTGGTGCGTTTGTTCTGGGCGTTGTTGGCGTATCGATTGACCTGTCCTGTCACCCTGGTGTATCCATGGATGGCCCGTCCGTGTGGTGTATAGGGTTCCCTGTACCTTGCCTCCTGGTGTATATTCATACCTGCCTCGTCATCTCGTTTATTGTTTCAGCTTGTCGCGATGATTTTTCCTGACGGGGTATACTCCAGTGCATGCACCGGTGCATTTTGCGTCTCTGGACACGTCGTCCCAATTCCAGCTGAAAACGACCCTGGGGAGCTGTTGAAGGTTGTGCGAGGAGTCCAGAGGGAGGAGAGAGCGGGATGGGGGAGTCGCACTTGCCCTGAGGCTGTGACGTGCTTTGCGCCTGGGGATCTACGATGTCGAAGTTTGTTTGCAAACGCGAAGTCTGTTTGTCGAGGGCCGTCAGTTTGGATAGGCCCACGCTGCGATTGCATAATAATGCGCGTGCAGCGCTATCGGATTTATGTTTTGTTTTGTCGAATATCTGGGAACTGGGGTGGTATATTGCATGTGGGCCTCCCACCCTTTCCTGTGCGTTCGCGCCGTCAAACAGGCGCCGTATCGCATTGGATCCTCACCCCCACCATGGGGAAGGGCGGCGCTGGGGTTACAGACCAGATCCTGCTGGCCCGGAATCTCCGGCTCGTGCGCCTGGTGCGCGCCGTGCGGATGATGGAGCCCAGGGGGCCGCCGAAAACATGGCGAGCAGAGGGCTGAGGATGTCCTACGGGAAGTCAGGGAGCTTCTTGGAAGCCCTCCAGGCTTTACGAAGCATGCTTAGATGCCTCAAGGCCTCCTCAGAAGGCCCGTTCCGTCCAAGAAGCCCCTCGCTTTCTTAGAAGACCGTCCCCCCTCGACACGCCCGCTTGGAGACCGTTTTTTATTCCCTGGCGTTCACGGTCGTGACCAGGGGGGCCAACAGGGGTGGGGGAGGGGGCTAGTCACGTCACGATTCGCGCCAGTGCCGTCTGGGAACGCCGAAGAAAGGCTCATTGTCAGACTGCGCCAGCCCAAACCCTGACGTGACCGGGGGGGGCCGGTCACGGGCGTGATCGTCGAAACATTATACATGGTAATAGGAACAGCAGAATTGATTCTTGAGCGCGCCGCAAAATACGGCGAGCAGAGAAGATTGGAGAATCCCTCGGCATTCACCACTTTCGGCAGACCAAGCGAGGATCCGAGGCTGGGATTTACGCCCATCAGACATCTGAAGACAATTCATCAATGCTCACTGGCTCCAGATTTCATTAGTGAAAGTCATAAATCAAGATTGGGCCCTGGGCGTTTTCTGTTTGGGCTGTTTCTTTGTCGTAGAATGTTTGTAGATCTGGACCTGGACTACGGCTCAAGAAATCGCTTAGGGTGACGTTGATCTCCTTTGCTTCGAGTTTTCTTAGCTTTAAGCACGGGTGTATGCGCATCCGCCGCCTGGGGAGTCGATCTTCCAGGATCAGGATCCCAGGGGGGGGCAGTATATGTTGACAAGTTTGGGCCGTACAACGGGCGTGAGATGTTTTCGTTGGCGATCCCGGCGACCCAAGAACGCTCCCGACGAGGCGCACTCGTTGGAAGAGACATTGTCAGAATGGGGAACTAGACACAGACACTATATACGTCGATTTCCAGGAACTGATTGGACAATATGGGAAGTGGAAGGGGAAGACGAGAATCCAGAACATATGCAAAACTATTGGGAATCATGGGGTTTGTGCATACTTCTTGTGTGCCCCTGAAACCCCCAAAGCCCCTTGAGGATTTTTGGAGTCTTCCAAGGACCTCCAGTACCTGAGCTGCTGCACTCTCTGCGATGGCCCCCTCCTCCGACGTTGCAGTTTGCTCGTGATGTCGACCTTGGGGTTCTCGACCTCTTCCCTGGGGCCTGGCTCTTCATCTTGGGTCGATCTTTGACGGTCCCGGGGCCATGAAACGTCTCCTGGAGGCCGGCCGTCGCGGTGTTTGTTGCGTCGTCCGGATTTCAGGGTGTCTGCACATTCAGCATGTTGCCCGCCAGTGCCAGGAGCTCTTCAACGACCTCTGGAAGCTGAGCGTTGGCCTTGTCAGGTCCTCGCGCACGGTCGCGTCGGCGTGCGTGCTCGTATCCATGGTGGGGTACATCTTCGGGCGCCTCAGGGGGGGGGGACCGAAAGGGGAGGGTTGGGAAAGGGGAGGCTACGAGTCGCTGCATAGTGTAAACATAAGCTTTCGGAGGTCAGCGCGGGTTGCTCGGATCGGCGCTGGCCCCGCCCCTGGCGGCTTCTTCGGCGCCACCGCTGGTGCGGTGCCGATCACAGAAATCTGCGCGGACCTGGGTGTGCACATCGTTTCTTCTTCGTACCCGAATGTGGGTCTCTTGTGATTACTGTGACGCCCTCCGCCCTCCGCCTCACCTCCTCATCATCTCCTCTCGCTTGCTCCTCCCTTCTCTCCGTTGCCTCTGCTTCCCTCAGTCACTCATACGTGCGATCACTCACACTCCGACTCACGCGCACTCAGATTCGCGCACTCCCTGGCTCATTCATGCTCGTATTCTTCACACTCCGACTCGATCACATTCGTACACTGGTCAGCGCACTCAGGCACTCGTGTTTCCGGTGACTCACACACAGACCCACACACGCATACTCATTCACATTCATATGCGTTCCTACTCAGCTTGGTCACATTCAGACCCATTCACACTCAGACTTGTATTCGTTTTTTGTTCTGCAGACTTAACTTTTTAGGGAGCCTCGTGCTCACCCCGATATAGCAGGCGTTGTATTTGGGCACCTCAAGGGGGAGCCGACATGGGGATAGGTAACTCACCCGTTCGCGGCAATATTGTGGGGATGTCTCAGGCGGTTTGCCTGTTTGGTTGGCCAGGCTTCTTTTTGTTGAGAGCCCCATGCTCGTTGCGATGTAGCGGGCGTTGCGCGTAGGCCCTCGCTCGTTCGCGGCCAGATTGTGGAGATGTTTCAGGCGGCCTTTCCGTTCGGATGCCCCGATTTCTATCTTTTGAGGGCCCCACGGTCGCCACGCTGTAGCAGGCGAACAGCTTCCGCAACCCAGGGGAAGGGGGAAGGGGCGCGGGGAGGGGCACCATGGGGCAGGACACTGGGCAAGACATTGGCCAGGTCGCGGTAAGATTGTGGGGATGCCTCCGGCGGTTTGGCTGTTGGGTTGCCCAGGCTCCTCTCTGTTGGCAGCCCCGTGATCACACCGAGACAGCAGGCGTGGCATTTGGACACCTCGGGGAGGCGGCGCCAGGGGGTATGGCACTTGCCCGTTCGCGCGCAGATTGTGAGGATGTCTTGAGCGAGGCGGCCGTTCGAGGCCAGAGTGTTGGGATGTGCAGAGCGAGGCGCTCGTTTGACGTCGGCGGCCCCACTGCTTTCAGAGCAGATTGTGAGGACATCTTGAGCGAGGTGCTTGTTTTAGCACTTCAAGGAGTGGGTCGTCATGGAGTGGGCCACTCGACCGTTGGCGACTAGATTGTGGGGGTGAGGGGAGCGAGGCGCTCGTTTTGCACTTCCGATTCCTCTGCGTTAAGAAGTCCATGATCACAGCGATGCAGCAGGCTGAGGTTCTCTCACACAGTCGCTCACAGTGGGGCGTGTCAGGAATTGATGTGCACATGTGGAGGTCCGCTCTGAGTGTTTCTAGCGGAGACTGATGCGTTCAGCTGGTTTTGTCTCGACTGCTTGGCAGTTTCAACGTTGCGTGGCAGTTCCTGGCGGTACGACGTATGGACAATCAACAGCATCATCTGATTCGTTACCCCCTTTCATCCAGCTGCCTGCGGCAAGTCCTTCCACCGTTCCAGCCCAGCATTCTGAGCGGCAACTGCTCGAGGGGGCACGGTTGGCGGTCACGTGTGAAAGGTCGTGTCCCAGGCTTGGGAGAGACGTGGTGGTGTTGACAATGGTGATCGTGATGATGGTACGTGATCGTGATGATGTTCATCGTGGTGATTGGCAGTTCTGGAGCAGTAATCGAATCGTAGAGCGCAGGAGGTCCGCGCGGCTGCATCTGCAACCGCTGGGGCTCAAACCTTTTTCGTAAGGGGGCCTTCCGTTCGCCCACGATCCCTCGCCGCCTGCATGCGCGGGGTGGCTCCTGGCGCGCGGGACGGCCTGGGCCACTGACGCCCGTGTGGGCTCCGCTTGGCTGGGCCTGAGGTGGGCCGCCAACCGATCGGCGGCCGTCCCGGGGGCTTCGCTGTAGTTGCTCGGTGCGCGTGGAGGATCCGTGGCCGAGTAGGTGACGCTCCTCCAGGATGGCTGATTGTCGCTGTCCAGCCTGGCGAGGCCGACAGGCCACGTCCAGCTGACTGTGAACATTGGGGGTGAGCTGTATGTGGAGTATGAATTGGGTGGTGCTGCTCTTCTGCATGGACGTGTGATTGTGTTGGCCGTCGAGCCTCTCCACGCTGCGGTTGTCTCGCCAGACCACGTTTTGTTCATCGAGTGGTTCTAAGGGGGTAACGACGACAGCAGGCATTGGTAATTATCGCATCGGTCCTGGCCGAGCGCTCATCCGCGAGGACGGGGCCAAACGGTTGTCAGCTGCTGGGGCAAGGTTCGGGGTCAACAACTCCGGCTTGCTTCTCACGTTGGCCGATCTGCACGCCCTCCCGGCGTTCCACGACATCAACAGCACGTGATTCCGCTTGTCTGCGACAGGCGTGGCCCCCCGCCGCGGGGTCACGTGGCCAGACTGGGTCGTGTCAGGACCTCGCACGGTGTATTGGGTGGCAGTCTGCTGGCTCGAGAACGGGGGTAGCACCCTCGGAGACCATGTGCAGTGGAGGTTTACCATACTGTTGGAGATGGATGGCGTGGTGGTGCCCAACCACCGCGAGCTGGCGAAGATCTTCGAGACGGCGTTGTGGTACGACCAGGTGGACCTCTCGAGCATTGCGAGCCTCGAGCTCGTGACGCGGCCGACCCCGATTTGCGAAGAATGATGACGTCACCGCGTGCTGGCCATCAGAAATAACACCGCGGACTACCATGATGAGGGCTATTATTGCCGAGGCGTGGCCACAACCCAGGGGCTCATGGTGGCACCATAAGGAGTGTCGCAGAGCGCTTGAAGGGCGGCAGCCGGCGAGGCTGGAGAAGGAGGCCCGCGGCATCAAGGGCGAGGAGGGTGGGTTAGCCACTGGCGCACGGGCATTTCGGTTTTTGGCCTTGAGGTGGTGATGCGCCAACGCGACGTCTTCCCCCTCCCACTATTTCTTCTTTCCGGCTCGGCGAGGTCTGGCTGCCGGTCCTTCGCTCGCCGCGCTCGCCAGCATCGGCACATCCGAGTGGGCCTACGACGGCATCTTCTACCCGAGCTCTCTTCATGGACGCGGGTCTGCGCCAGGCAGGCTCCCAGGCACGGTTCAGCAGTATTGTCTCGAGCACAGCTGCCACGCCATCGGAGCTTGCTCAGCTGATTTCCGCCGCCGCGGGAGGCATCGCTAGCTCTCCGGGAGCTTGCGCGTTCGACCATGGACCCCTTGATGGCGCTATCTTGCTTTCACACCGATGAGCGCCGAAGTCCGCCGACATCCGTGTCGGGCCGCCGTCCAGACCGCCGAAAGACCACCGAAAACCGACAAAAGACCGCTGAAAAACCGCCGAAAGACCGCCGAAAAACCGCCGAAAGACCGCCGAAGACCGCCGAAAGACCGCCGAAAAACCGCCGAAGACCGCCGAAGACCGCCGAAGACCGCCGAAAGACCGCCGAAGACTGCCGAAGACCGCCGAAGATCGCCGAAAGACCGCCGAAGACTGCCGAAGACCGCTGAAGACCGCCGAAAAACCACCGAATACCTTCGAAGACCGCCGCAGATTGTGTCGGGCCCCAGCGCCCGTGGCGGGGCGCGTGCCCGCTGGCGGTTTTCGGCGGTTTGTCGGTGGTCTTCGGACGCCAATATGCATGGCGTGGGGTCCATGATCGAACGCGTAAAAGGAGCGCCGCCATGTGCCGCGAGTGCTCGGCCACCGTCGCGCCCAACTACAAGGGCGCTGTGTCCTGGTTGGCCGTGGGAGCGAAGCCTGCCTCCTGAGGCGCCGCGCCCCCCCGCGGAACACCCCGCCTGGTCCAGGGGCTTGACGGCCAACGCGCGAAGACCTCCAGCTGCAGCCGATGCTCTCGGGTCTGAGCTCGGACGGGTCTGCTTTTACCTTGACGCTGCGTTCCGAGATCATTGAGTGCACGTCGACTTTGTGAGAAGGGCTGGTTACCCGAGGCATGGCTCGCCTGGTTCCTGCCTCGGATTTCGGAGGCTGGCGCCGCAGCAGTCAGGCTTTCTTACTTAACAGCAAAGATTGATTGGTTTCTAGTAGGGTCAAAAGAGAGCATCATGACGCCCAGGAGTGTCTGGGCGCGATCCGGGGGAATGCCGGGCATTTTTTTTAGCCAACACTTTCACATTTCGTGGTCTTCGAGGTCCCAGAACTCCACTCCCGGGCCACATTCTGAATGCCCGGAGCCAACTGTAAGCCACCTCGTGGTCTTCGAGGTCCCAAGACTCCATTCCCGGACAACATTTTGAATGCCCGGAGCCAACTGTACGCCACTTCGTGCTCTTCGAGTTCCCAGAACCCCATTCCCGGGCCACATATTGAATGCTCAGGCAGGCTGATGCTGAGGCCGAGGCAGGCTGAGACTGAGACAGGCTGTGGCTGAGGCCGAGGCTGAAGGCTTACTGAGGCTGTGGCTGAAGCAGGCTGAGGCTGAGGCTGAGGCTGAGGCAGGCTGAGGCTGAGGCTGAGGCAGGCTGATGCTGATGCAGGCTGAGGCTGAGGCTGAGGCTGATGCAGGGTGAGGCTGAGCAGGCTAAGGATGAGGCCGAGGCCGAAGGCAGGCTGAGGCTGACGCTGAAGCAGGCTGAGGTTGAGGCTGAGGCTAATGCAGGCTGAGGCTGAGGCTGAGGCAGGCTGATGCTGAGGCAGGCTGAGGCTGAGGCTGAGGCTGATGCAGGCTGAGGCTGCGGCAGGCTGAGACTGAGGCCGAGGCTGAAGGCAGACTGAAGCTGAGGCTGAAGGCAGGCTGAGGCTGAGGCAGGCTGAGGCTGAGGCTGAGGCAGGCTGATGCTGAGGCAGGCTGAGGCTAGGCTGAGGTTGATGCAGGCTGAGGCTGAGGCAGACTGAGGCTGAGGCCGAGGCTGAAGGCAGATTGAGGCTGAGGCTGAGGCAGGCTGAGGCTGAGGCAGAGGCAGGCTGAGGCTGAGGCTGAGGCAGGCTGATGCTGAGGCAGGCTGAGGCTGAGGCTGAGGCTGATGCAGGTGAGGCTGAGGCAGCCTGGGGCTGAGGCCGAGGCAGAAGGCAGACTGAGGCTCAGGTTGAAACAGGCTGAGGCTGAGGCTGAGGCAGGCTGAGGCTGAGGCTGAGGCAGGCTGATGCTGAGGCAGGCTGAGGCTAAGGCTGAGGCTCATGCAGGCTGAGGCTGAGGCAGGCTGAGGCTGAGGCCGAGGCTGAAGGCAGACTGAGGCTGAGGCTGAAGCAGGCTGAGGCTGAGGCTGAGGCAGGCTGAGGCTGAGGCTGAGGCAGGCTGATGCTGAGGCAGGCTGCGGCTGAGGCTGAGGCTGATGCAGGCTGAGGCTGCGGCAGGCTGAGGCTGAGACCGAGGCTGAAGGCAGACTGAGGCTGAGGCTGAAGCAGGCTGAGGCTGAGGCTGAGGCAGGCTGAGGCTGAGGCTGAGGCAGGCTGATGCTGATGCAGGCTGAGGCTGAGGCTGAGGCTGAGGCAGGCTCAGGCTGAGGCAGGCTGTGGCTGAGGCCTAGGCTGAAGGCAGACTGATGTTGAGGCTGAAGCAGGCTGAGGCTGAGGTTGAGGCTGGCTGAGGCTGAGAGGCAGGCTGATGCTGAGGCAGGCTGAGGCTGAGGCTGAGGCTGATGCAGGCTGAGGCTGAGGCACGCTGAGATTGAGGCCGAGGCCGACGGCAGACTGAGGCTGAGGCTGGCAGGCTGAGGCTGAGGCAGCCTGAGGCTCAGGCCGAGGCAGGCTGATGCTGAGGCAGGCTGATGCTGAGGCTGAGGCTGATTCAGGGTGAGGCTGAGGCAGGCTGAGGCTGAGGCCGAGGCTGAAGGCAGACTGATGTTGAGGCTGAAGCAGGCTGAGGCTGAGGCTGAGGCAGGCTGAGGCCGAGGCAAGCTGAGGCTGAGGCTGGGGCAGGCTGAGGCTGAGGCTGTGACTGCGACTGCCGTTGCCGCTGCGACTGCCATTGCGAATGCGACAACGACTGCGAGAACAGCAGAATTCTACAACAGGATTCTCATGTGAATCTTAAGGGGAATGCTTCCAGACATGCTCCTACACATCGCTGTCAGGTTGCTTTGCCGGGATAATTTCGCGAAGAAGAACACGGGCCAGCAGAGTGCCGTCTTCGATGCCCGTTTGGCCACTGCGACCTCGAGACTGCTCTGGTTGCGCGCTTCCCCTCGGCGTCCGCCTTCGCGAGGCTCGGGACTGGCGAGTGCGACGTCGTGTGGTTCAGCGTGGTTCAATTGCTTCGACATCAATGACGTTTTTTTGTATAAAAGTGTGTGTGTGTGTGTGTGTTTGTGTGTGTGTGTGTGTGTGTGTGTGTGTGTGTGTGTGTGTGTGTGTTTGGGGTGCCAGAGAAACTGGGGCCCTGCGTCTGGCTGCCCGCCCTTCGTAGTGGCGCCTCCGGCTGGCCAGGGGCGGGCGTTTCCGCCCGGTGCGCGCCGTTCAACGCGGTGTTGCCCATGGGTTGGAGTTGGGCGCTTCGCCGCTGCCAGCTGGCGACCAGGAAGGGCTTGGCGCGAGGCGGGCAGTGCGCGGGCGCCCTGGCCAAGGGCTGCGCGGCCCACCCGCGGAGTCCTTCGAGGCCCATGCGAGCCGCGGCCTGCGTCGGCAACTTCATGGTGGCGAGGCCGCCGCGGGACAGGGTCGCCGCGGCCGGGCGGTCAGCGTCGCGCGGATTGTCAAGAGCAGGGCCTCGCCATCCATGAGGAGAGGCGCGGTGCGTCACGCCGACTTCGTGGCCTCGGTTTTGCTGGCCAGATGCACGCGGCCCAGAGTTCCTCCAGTCGGACGTGGCGGCCCAGGCTCGCCATCGAGGACCTCTTGCGACGAGGCTCTTGCGCGGGCCACGTGCTGGAGATCGTGGTGAGGCATGCCACCTGAATCGCGCTGCTCTTGAGGTCCTCCCTCTTCGGCCTTCACCTCGATGCGCCCGTTCGTCGAGGTGCTGGGCCAGCAGGCCCGCGCGCTGTGGGCCCCGGTGAGGGAGCGGCTCTGCCTCTGCTGCTGGCGGCGCGCGCCGACGCCGCCCGGCGCGAGGAGGTCGCTGATTGCGACGCCTCTCATTGGGGCCGCGGCGATGCGAGCGCGTCGCCTCAATGGCGGCGGCGGCGCTGGGGCGCGACCGCCGCCCGAGCCCGCGCCTTCCACGGCTGCTCGGGCAGTTGCGGCGGCGCGCCGGCGCAAGCGGACCTGCCCGGCGGCCGGGGGGGGGCCGGCGAGCGCGCCGAGGCCGTCGATTTGGCGGGCGCGAACTGTCGAATGGCGAATCGCGGAGTCTTTCCTGTCGCGGGGCCCAGCAATTGGTTTTCGCTTCGAGGGGCTGGCCCTGTCCAATTCGCTTCGTCGTCTTGCGGGATCGAGCGGCTGCCAGATATCGCGCCTGTCGGCGGCCTTCCAGCTTCGGGGCATCCTCGGGTAGATGTGCGCCCCCCCATCGCCGCTGGGCCCCGTCGGAAAAGAGCCCGGCCGACGCCCGCTCTCGAGGCCTGTGCTACGTCGGGCGGCAGGGCGAGGAGGACAACGTTTCGGTCGAGTGGGCTGCTGCTGCCCGTGCTGACCTTCCAGCTGTGCCGATCATCCCGAGCGAGGTATCGGTCGCGCGAGTTGGGTGCCTCGTTGCCGGCGGGGGGCGACGGGGCCGCCGCGGCCGGGCCCCGCGTCGGCAGCCGCGGCGGGTGCGCGGGGGGAGCGGTGCTGGCCGCCATCCTCCGAGTCGGCGCCCGTCGTGGAGTCGCGCCCGATGGCCCCGGGGCCGCGGCCGAGGCGGCGCCCGCCGACTGCGAGCGGAGAGCGAGGGCCGCCCAGGCGTCGGTCAGCTGGGCCACACTGGGCGAGCTCGATAAGCGCAGGAGATGCTCGTGGACGAGTTGTGTTTTCCTCGGCGGCTCGGGGGGCGCGGCAATCAAGACGCTGGCGCGGGTGGCGTCCTGCTGCCCAGAGGTCGACTGGCGCGGCGCCCAGAGCCTGCCGCGCGCGGCGCGCGCGTCGGCGGGCGGGGGCGAGGCGGTCCCTGGGGCCGCGCTGCTGCCAGTCCTAGGGCTGCTTGCGGCGGCGCTTGCCAGAGACATGCTGGCGAACAGTCTGCTGGAGCACGCGATTGCGCCGCTGTTGGCCTTCCACGGCCACTTGGGCCCTCGCGACCGCGCGGCTGGTGATGCTAGTGTTGAGCGTGGGTTTTGAGCTGCGCGCGTGGGCACTGTTCCTCGACCTGGCGGATTTGGGCGCGCTGTCGCCAGGATCGACGCATGTGGTTTTCCCTCGGGAAGTGCTGACGGAAGGGTTGCAGGCGTCAGCCAAAGCGATCGACATGTGTCGGCCGAAGCGCTAGGGCCGCCGACCTCGGGCCTCGCCGTCGCTGGCCTTAGGCATTCCGGCGCCTCTTACGACCTCATGGCCAAGGGCCAGTCGCTCTTCGGGGTCAGGGCTCGAGGCAGGGGAAGGAGCGACTGGGTGCTCGAGCGGTGAGGCAAGGAAGTGAGCGCGCTGGCGGGGCTGCGCATGACGCTTCTCGCCACGCTCAAGTTCGGGCAGCGCGGAGCGAGCCGTTTCGACGAGATCTTCCTCGCGCGCGAGGCGCTGCCGAGGCTGCCGGCGCTTCCCCATCGGATTCCCCTGAGTGGCCGCCAGGTCCCGATGGGAACCTGCCGAGTTTTGAAGAGGGCCTTCGTAACGCCACTTTCTGTAGGAAACCAATCATTCTCGATCTCTACGCCGGGCAGGGCGGGCGTGCGCAAAATTCAGCATGGCTTACCCCAGGAAGCACTGCAGAACCCCCCCCTTCATCCAGTGAAAGTATAGTGCGTCCAGCACTTTGGAAGCGTTACTTCGGCACCGGAGGAGCCCGCAGAGAGCACTCGGGGCCAAACTAAGCCTTGATGAGCCCTGCTGGCTCCCGCTGGGCCCTGCTAAGCAATGATAAGCCAGGCTCGCCCCCTGCTGCGCCCTGCTAAGCCCATGGCAATCCTTTGCTGGTCTGTAACAGGTCCTGGGAACTGCACAGCGTATCCAAAGGCATCCCCAAGGATTTTTTCTTGCGCGTCGCGCGGCGCACGACGCACCACGGAAATGATGTGTTGATTTGTGCGAGGTGCTACAGATAGCGCTCGGCGAAAACGGCCCCGGTGCGGTGCCGATAAACCCGGGGGGTTCTGAAACGGCTTCTTCGGGTTAGGGTTCGGCGTCGTTTCTGTGAACATCCTTCGGTAGCCTTGGTTTGATCTAAACTGGCCAACGAAACATCGTCAGGAGGTGGGTTGCGGGGGGGGGTTCGTCGCTGGCGTTTTGATGGGCATTCCATGTTGCTCCTGGTCCCAGGCGAGGCGAATTGGTGTCGATTCCGTAGTTCCTCTCACATTTGGGGGGTTCGTAACCTCGAGGCTCGGGCCTGCGAGGCCTGCGTTCGAGGAGGCGCTCAACCCAAGTTTCGTTTTTCGCTCGTCCGTACCTGCTGCCACCTTCGATTGCCCGTGGCTTTGGGGAAGCCCAGTGCGAGCTGGATGTGGCGCGTTCATCCCCTCGCCCGCTTCTGCGAGAGGCGTGATACCCACACTTGCGTTATTGATGATTGCGGTGTCGGTGACCGGCGGCGCAATCGCGCTCGGGGCTAAGTTTGGGGAGGCAGTTTTTGTATCAAGCTTCTTGGTCCTTGCCGTGTGTGTGTTCATGTGGAGCTACTTCTTTTAATTGGACAAATTACACGTTGTGCTGACGCACCGTGGCCCTAGCTCGGGCAAGCTGTGTGCGCGAGGTGTTGAGCCTTACGTTGCCCGGTTTTGCCGAGCTTTAGAGCTGAACATTCAATCTCTTCGTATCTGCCGATTCCGGCAGCTTTCATGACCAATATTGTTTTAGCTGCTCATGCGAAAAGCTCAATCGGGATGATCTTGTTTTTTTTTGCCTTTTCCCTCTCGCGTTCGGTTTTGTGGTGTTTCTGTGGAGTGTGTCTCTGTGGTTGTGCTGTGCTGTGTCGCCGTGCGTCCTCCCTCCCCCTGCCCTTGCCGAGCCCTGCCCAGGAGCCGCCCTGTCTTGGTCGACCCGCCTGGCCCAAAACAAACAAGGTCCTGGCCAGGAAGAGCGTCGCGATGATGGTGATGATAATGGAAAGAGCGTGTTCTACCGCTGCTGGCGGAAAACCGGGGGGGGTCACTACCGGTTCGAACCCCCCCCCCCCCCCCCCTCCGGAAAACCGGGGGGGGTCACTACCGGTTCGAACCCCCCCCCCCCCCCCCCCCCCCCTGCTCATCATGAAAAGGGGGGGGGGTCACTACCGGTTCGAACCCCCCCCCCCCCCCCCCCCCCCTCGAAAACCGAGTGGGGGTGCGGACAGTGGTGGGGACGGTGTTGGTGGGGACAGTGGTGAGGGGACAGCGGGACAGTGGTGGGGACAGTGGGGGGACAGTGGGACAGTGGTGGGGACGGTAGTGGTGGGGACAGTGGTGAGGGGATAGCGGGACAGTGGTGGGGACAGTGGGACAGTGGGACAGCGGTGGGGACGGTAGTGGTGGGGACAGTGGTGGGGACAATGGTGGGAACAGGGGGGGACAGTGGACAGTGGTGGTGACGGTGGTGGTGGGGACAGTGGTGTGGGGACAATGGGAATGAGGTGGAAACAGTGGGACAGTGGAGGGTACAATGGTGGTGGGGACAGTGGTGAAGGCGGTGGCGAGGACGGCGGTGGGACAATGGGACAGAGGTACAGTGGGGACAGTGGTGGGGACAGTGGGGACAGTGGTGGGAACAGTGGGACAGCTCAGTGGGACAGCGGAGGAGTCAGTGGGACAGTGGGGACAGTGGGGATAGTCGGGCAGTGGTTGGGGCCGTGGAGACAGTGGGGAGAGTGGAACCGTGGTGGGAACAGTTCTGGGGACAGCGGGGACAGTGCGACAGTGGTGGGGCCACTGGTGGGGACAGTAGGGGCGGTGGTGGAACCAGTGGGGACAGCGGTGGTGAGGACAGTGGTGCTGGGAACACCAGTGGGGGATGTGATGCGGACGGTGGTGGGGACCGGGAGTCGTTTGCTGGCGGTGAGTAGGGGGGGGGGGGGGGGGGGGGGGGGGGGGGGGGGGGGGGGGGGTTCGAACCGGTAGTGACCCCCCCCCTGTTTTCCGGATCCGGAGGGGGGGGGGGGGGGGGGGGGGGGGGAGGGGTTCGAACCGGTAGTGACCCCCCCGGTTTTCGAGCGGGGGGGGGGGGGGGGGGGGGGGGGTTAGGGGGGGGGGAGGGGGGTTTTGCGGGGGAGAGGGGGGGGGGGGGGGGGGGGAGGGGTTCCGGCAGGGGGGGGGGGGGGGATTTTCGGAGGGGGGGGGGGGGGAGACCCCCGGGTTCCGGAGGAAAAGGTTGGCAATTTTCCACAGTAAAGCGGCGGTGGATCACGCTCTCTCTGATAATGAGGGTGCTGCGGATGATGATGATCATACTGATTGTGTTGATGATGATGATGATGGTGGTGATGATGATGATGCTGATCATAATCCCCATGATGATGTTGATGATGACGTCGATGGTGTCGAGTTCATGTGGATTATTATGGCGGTGATGATGGTGGCGATTCTCCTGATGAGGATGAATGTGATGATGCTGACGATGGTGACGGTAGCGATAATGATGTTGTTGATGATGATGATGGTGTTGATGAGTATGATGATGACGATGATGACGACGCTCATGCTGATGGTGGCGATGTTGTTGTCGTTGATGATGACGATGCTAACGCCGCTGATGATTATGATGTTGATGATGATGCGATGATGATGGCGATAATGATGATGACGATGGAAATGTGATGATGGTAATACTGATGATGCTGATGATCATGGTGGTGTTGGTGGTGGTGATGATGCTGCTGATGATGCTGCTGATGATGATGAGCTGGTGGTGGTGGTGCTGATGGTGGTGGTGGGGATGATTGTGATGATAACGACGATGATGATGCTGATGCTGATGGTGGTGATGATGATTGATGATTGATGATAAATGGTTGTTGGTGATGATGATGATGACGACGACGATGCTGATGATGATGATGATGATGGTGATGGTGATGGTGATGGTAATGGTGATGATGATGACGATGATGATGAGGATGATGATGCCGATGAAGATGAAGATAACGATGACGATGACGATGATGATGATGATGATGATGATGATGATGATGATGATGATGATGATGATGATGATGGTGACGAGGGAGTGGAGGAGGAGCAGGAGGAACAGGAGGAGGAGAAGGAGAGGGAGGAGGAGGAGGAGCTCTCATGAATCTTATTTGGGGCCCGTCTTGAGGCCCTCTTGGGCCGTCTTGGGCACTCTTAGGCCGTCTTGCGGCTTTTGGGGGGCCTTCGTGGGGCTCTATTGGCCTTATTGTTGGTGTCTTGGGGTCGTCGTGCGGCCGTCTTGTCGTTGTCTGGAACCGTCGCAGGGCCTTCTAAGGCCGTCTTCGGTGTCTCCGGAGGCCCTCTTGGGCCGCGTTGGGGCCGTCTTGGAGGCCTGTTGGGGTCCTTTCTGGGCGTCCCTCTGGAGACTTCTTGGGCCTGACGGAAGCCCGAAAAGGCGAGAACGCGAACATCCTTCAAAAAATTCTCTGGGTAAATCAGTGATTTGAGTTTCATCGGATCCTCTTGGATGTCCTCTTGCGGCCCTCTGGGCCTTCTTCTTCGAGGCATGTCGGGCCGTCTTGAGGCCATCTTCGTCCGCCTTGGGGCCATCTTGGCGCGCCTTGAAGGCTCCTCGGGCCATCTTGGCGGCCTTTGTTACCTGCATTGGCCGTCTTGTAAGATCGGGAGCGCGGATCCATCGTTTCTTTTAAGAGTGATCGTGGCCTCGGGAGCGAGGACCAATCGTTCTTGCTGAAGGATCGTGGCGCCAGGAAGGAAGGCGGTGCACGCAGCTGATGCGGCGAGATGGGTGGTGTCCAATACAACGATTACAGGGACCCTATCGGACAGCCCTTGGCGGCCTACTACGCCGCAACCTGCCAGGGGGCACGGTGGCGGTTACATACCAAAAATGATACCCTCCCCTTGGAGGGAGGATGACGAGGAGGAGGAGGACGCAGAGGGAGCAGGAGGGAATAGGGAGAAGGAGCAGGACGGAGGAGCGCGCGAAGTAGAAGGATGGAGGAGTGTCCGGACACTTCAGCTGACGACCACACCGATTCTGGCCCAGCCCATCCTTGGGCCCAGGATCGGCTAGGCCAGGATCGGTGAGGTGGTCAGTCGACGTCCCCCGAGAGGAAGATGGCGGAAGATGGAGGAGCACGAGGACTCCTCGTCCTCCCCGACAGGTGCATCGGGATCGAGCTCATCGGGAAGTCGCGTGACCTTCGGGAGGACCCCGTGACTGGCCCGATCGTGGCCAGGCACTTCGGCTCGATCCCGCAGGCCCTGGGCGGCCCGTCGTCGTCGTCGTCGTCGAGGTCGTCGTCGTCGTCGTCGTCGTCGTCGTCGTCGTCGCCGTTGCTGTCGTCGTCGTCGTTGCTGTTGTTTATCCGCGAGCCAGTGCGGTAAGGCTTGCGCCGTGTCGGCGCGGCGGCGGCGCTCCGCCGCGGGCGTCGGAGGTGGAGCGCCGCCTGTGGCCCAGCATCGGTCAATGGAACGGCCCGGCGATCGGGAAGCCGGCGATGATTGGGCGCTGCGTAATGGGGGGATCGTACAAATTGTACCTAACCGAGCGAGTGTGGTCCGAACAGGTACCCAAATGGTACCTAAACGAGCCCCCTGGGGCTCTGGAGGGGCCCGAAAGGGGCACGAAAGGGGACCTTTTCTGACCCCCCCATTTGTGACCCCCCTATGACGCCACGCCCAAGATGATTCCAGGTCGAACGATCCACGTTGTCAACGTTCTTGGGCAGGGTGGGGCTTTCGGGCCCCTGTCGGCGGTCTATGAGCGGTTGGGGTTCGTTGCAATCTCCCTTCCTGGGCAGGTTGGGGGTATCCGACCCCTCTCGGCGATCAACGGGCGATGGGGAGGCGATGCGTTTTCAGGGCTCCTAGATGGGGTCCGAGCAGATGGGGTCGGAGGGTCGCGCCGCAACGCCGATGCATCGGCGACGAGGCTCGATGCGGAGCCCGATTTGCTTCACGTCGACGTCGCCGATGCATCGCCCGCGAAGACGCTGCATCGCGGGTGCATCGCCGATGTATCGGCGATACGGCGCGATCCTCCGACCCCATCGACTCCAGAGGCAAGGATGCAGGCGGCGACGCCGATGTCGCCACGATCCACGTGGGGCGGTCCGGAAAGGGCCTCGTCTTTGAGGTCGTGGGGCGTCTCTTCCGCGGCGGAAGGCGACGGAAGTACAACTAGGCCGCCTCCTCCGGCGGAAGCCGGCGAAGGGGCGGTTGAAGGTGGCGGAAGTAAAACATGTGCCCCTTAGAGATGACAAGACTTTTAGATCAAGGTTTCTTGAATCGGCCACGTTGCTTCAAAGGCCAACGCCGACGCCGCCACGACGAGATCCTGCCGTATCCCACAGCAGCGCAGGTGCTGCGCAGAAGTCTCTCTTGGCCCTGGCAGGTTCTCAGGCCGTGTTCTAGTTCTCCTGCGAGTCTGAGGCTGGCCGCATCGCTAGCCGCGACCTTTCGCGCAGGGAGGAGGCGACTATCCAGACACCGCTTCTGGAGTGAGGGAGTTTTCGCCGCCGCCGCCGCCGTCGTCGACGCTCTCGTCGCACCCGTCGCTCTCGTCGTCGTCGTCGTCGTCGTCGTCGTCGCCGTCGTCACGGTGGACGTTTCTGGGCGTTCCTGGTCGTGCATGGCCTTCTCTGGTGCTCCAGAGGCCTGCGGAGGCCTATGACCACCGTCCACAATTACTCAATATGACAGCTGGTGACCATCGGTTGCCATAAAAGCACCGGAGGCCACACAGAAGCGCTAGGTGTTTTCGTGGCAACTGGTAGCCATAACAAAAAAAAGCGTGTGATGTTGTTTTAGCCACTGGTGGCCATACACAGACGTGTGATGCTCTCCTTATTTCTCCCCGGACGATGGCCGGGGAGTCGCCCGCCCCCCTCTGCGCATGCGTTTGGTTCACGCAAAAAGGTCGGATGTAGCCAGGACCCCAGGTAAGGGGACCCGGTTAGTGGTAGGGCCCCGGAGCCCCAACATTTGCCAGAATCACTAGACCAGGTTTGCCGTAGCTGGTGTTTTTCGTGTGACGGCAGTTCCGGTTAGTGGAACGGGGCGGGGGTGGCGTCCCCCAGTACAGATCACTAAACCAGGTCCCACTAACCCCAGTTCTGCCAACGCCAGAAATGGAGTTCCAGTATTTGGTACCTCTCGTGCCTTTTCTGTTTTGATCGGAGCGTCGTCGGAGACCCAAAACGGTGCTGCCGCTGAGGCGCGGGCCTCATTTTGGGATCGGCGCTTTGCTCCCCTCGTTCGGAATGGCGCGCTCGCCCCAGCGCGGGCCACTTTGCTGGATCCGAGTGCTTCTTCGTCGTTGTCGCCCCGCTCCGTGCCCCCCCCCCCCGCCTCCCCGCCTCCCCTTGGCCATCCTGGCCTTCCCGTTGCTCCCACTCGAGCTGCTGCTGCTGCTCCTCCTGTTCCTCCTCCTTCCTGATTGGCCTTGCTACCAACCTTCGCTTTGCCGATGACAGTTTGCTGATGGCAGCCACATTCAGACAGGTGAAACGTACGGCCCGAGATGTCAACGCTGCGCCATCGACTAGTTTGGAGATCCATCTTGAAAAGACAACTTTTGCACACATTTGAAGGTCGGCGGCCGCGCCGCCGACCCGAGCACGCGACTGTCAAGTGGAAGCGTGTTGAGATCTCACCGTTCGATGCTGTGCGGAAGTAGTCGGGGCGCCACATTACTTTTGCAATCCTGCTGCGACGGAGGTGGAATCCCGAATCGAAGCTGCGTGGAGAAAGTGCAGCCTCTTCCAACAGGAGCTCACGACACGATCATACTCGCTGAAGGGCCGTCTGCGGCTGTTTCACGGCACGGCGTCCTCAACATTATTCTATGGAGCCGGATCTGAGTCCGTGACAGCCTGCACTGGAGGCACAGCTGCGGTCGACGCAGCGCCACATGCCGAGGCTGGTTCTCGGATCAACAAGGCGCCGAGCCCCAGACACTGAAACAGACCTTGGTGCAGTGCGCGTGTCCGATGGTGAAAAATTGTGTCGACCAGTGACCCTTGTGACAGCAGTCGCAGCAGCGCGATTGCTACAGTCGGCTCTACCGGCAGTGACGACATCGACTCTGGCAGCGAAGGCACCACCGCGACATCGAGCTCAGGATCCCCCAGCAACGTCTTAGAACCATGGCACGAGTGGATCCGGCGCGCAACAAAACATATTGAAATATAGTTTGCGGAATTGTGGTACGAAGACTGGTGTGCACGACAACGATGGCTACAGTGGAGGTCTATTGGCACTTCGGTTTGCGACGGCATCGTCAAGTTGAGCCGCAAGGCTATCATGTGGGACCTGGTGGCTACACATACATGTTGGAAATGCTTGCCGCACTGACCTCTCAAGCCATGGACCAATGATTTCCCTCGCAGGCGATTTTTCTCCCCCAATCCCCGACTTTTCGACGAAAAGGAGGGCAACCCTGGGATACACCCCAAGGAGGGGGTTCGGACGCACCTCTATCGAGGATGGACGCCCTCCCCCCATCGTATATCCCAGGGTCGGGCACCAAATGTTCTGTCCAGTCGACAAGCCCACGAAGCCTGGGATAGGGGTCGACATATCCCTTGTCATTCCCAGCATTCATTCGCACTACCTGCACAAAGGAGTGGGGATCAGTTGTGACGGATCGTGAAGAATGGGCAAGTCAGGAGGACGCGCACGTGCTCAAGGTTTTGAGTGACATGTACTTGCTCCCTGGCGCCCCGGCGCCCCCGCCCAGCCCCGCGCAGGGCCGGCACTCTTGGGACGTCATGGCGCTCGCCTCGCCTCGCCTCGCCTCCTCCATCCTCGTCCTCTTCTTCCTCCTGCTCCTCCTCCTGCTCCTCCTCCTGCCTCTCCTCCTGCTCATCCGCCACCTCTTCAGTGCACGCAGCTCCCCGCCTCCGATTGCGCATGACACGATGGGGTCTTTGGGGGAAGCTCTGGGTTTACCCAGGTCCAACATGGCACGCGCTTGCGGATGTAGAAACAAGTAGGGATGGGCGGCAGGGGTAGGATGTTCAGTATGGCGCGAGCCAGCCTAGCTAGCTTCCCTCTCTCCTTCCCTTCCTCCTTACTCCCTCCTTCCCACATCCTTCTTACTCCATCCTCTTTCCTCATCCCTCGCTGTACAGCCTTGGGCCACAGGCGACCTGCCTTTGTCAGGCCAGGGCTTCATCTTGGCACGCATCCCGCGTTCAGTCAGGCCATGGGGCCTCGCTCTTCCCACTCGCCCGCCACGACCCTTGACCCTCGGGACGCGTGCCGGCCCGCTCGTCACACCATTGCGGCTCTTCCGCCAGGCCCAGATCCGTTCAAAATTTGTCCACGGACCTTTCTCGGGGTCCATCCTGACTTGTTTCTTGGGGCGGATCCAGCCGTGGCGACAAGAGGCGTCCAGGAGGCCGAGAAAAGGATAAACAGCGCCAGGGAATGCAGCCGTTGCTCGACCGGCCCTCCTCCGTTGAGGGTCCTTGAAGGGTGCTGCCCCTGCCCGCCCGCAGGTGCTGCTCACCCTCATGCGGGATGCCTGGCGGCGTCGAGCCGCCAGCACCACTCAGGGGGGAGGGTGCCCAGTGAGAGAGAGAGATACAATAACATTAAGAATGTCGAGAATATCATACAGACGGGCCTCGCCTGCGAGTGGTCGAGGAGTTGCCGTCTCCTTACCAGCGGGAGGCGGCTGAAGGGCACAGGAGGGCGGGGCGAAGAGCAGGAAATAACATACTATACGTTTTTTTTGTCCGAAGTCCCTGTTTTTGTTCTGGTATCTTCGCCGGGCCTCCGCGCGGAGCATCTGGCGCCGCCCCTGGCGCGCGGAGCGCGCCAGGGAGGGGGGCCAGCGCCGATCTACTAAATCCGCACGGGCTTCCCGAACTTTCTACTTATGTTGCTTGTCCTCTTCTACTATTCTTCGGTGGGCGGCGGCGCAAGGGCGGCGAAGGGCGGCGGAAGTAAAGCGATGGCTTTTTTTGGGTGGAAGGCTGGCCAAAGCAGAAGGTGGCGCTCCAAGTTATGCCAGCCTTGCTGGACTCAGAAATTCCTGAGCGAGCTACATGCTTGTAAGGCTGGCGTTATGGTAGATTTGGCTATCAATTTGCCGAGCGAAGTGGCCCTAAGCCGGCCCCAAGACATTTCAGCCCTGGTCTACGTTAGATTGGGGTTGGACAAGTGATGGGCAGCATTCTGGAATTATCCGGCAGCTTCTGAACGATCGATATGTTCCATGTTCTTCATTGACTCTGTCAAACCGAATGTGTTTCCCCACAACAGCCGTGGCAGGGCTACTCAGACCTCCAACGTCCGTAACTAGTACGACGCGTGTTTTTTTTCGATGTTGGCCACTGTTGGTCGTGTTCAGGCCCCGGGAACATCTGCAGTGAACCCGCATTGTAAGGATGAGCAACTTTCCAAGGCTACCCTGGCATCCTTGCCCCTTCAGCCCATGCTTAGCGACTTTCGCTGGCCAACCTCGTTCGAGAAATGTTCACATGGCCCTCACCCTTGCATTCTTACCCTGCATCCTTGCTTTGCGGTTTGACTGTAACCATCTAAGCACACCCCGCGACGGAAAACATATTCCCAGGGATGTGGTTGCCAGTCCTTGCCGGACGAAGCCACCGTGCAGGACCCAGGGTTACCCGTCGAGTCGGTGAGTCGTTGGCAGGAGTCTTGATATCGCCCTTGGGACCCGCGCCGCTTCCAGCCTGAGTCGTTGGGTCGGCATGTATTGTCATCGTCTGGCGGCGAAATCCGAAACTTCCTCTTGCCGACTAATGATTTAGGTAACTCGATGGGCGGCGGGGGTAGGGTTCGGAATTCGTTGAACACGTGGCAAGCTCCGAACCCTACCCCCGCCTCCCATCGGGTAGGGTTCGGATGTCGCCACCAACTCGTGGAGCGTGGAATCGCGCACGTTTGCGGAGGCGTGCGGGGGGCAAGGAACGGCGTGATCAGTGTGGGTCTTAGTTTGCGGCGAGGGCTGCCATAGCACACTGGCGGTGCGCAGCGAACCAGCTCCGCGTGCACGCGGCCGTCCAGACTGCACTTGGCCGCTGACTGCTTCTCTTCACCACCATTGTCATTACCATCCTCATCCTCCTGCTTTTCTTACCAGCTCCCGTCCCCACTTTCCTACTCGAGCTCCCGCTTTCGACTGCTGCGCTCCATTTCTCCGGCTTTGGTTCACATGCTTCCGTTTTTGATTCCCGACTTTCCGACTCCAGATCCAATTTCTGGTGTCCATCTCCCGCGCGGATTCTTGAGCGCTCCGGCCCCCCGGCGCTGCCCTCCTGGTGTCGGTCTGGTCCGACCGACATTGCCCGCTTGTTTGCTTGCTTGCTTGCTTGCTTGCTTGCCTGCTCCTCTTCGTCGTCGTTCGTGCCCCTGTCCTCTGGGCTGGTGCCCCATTCAAAGCTGATTGGGGCCAGCGGTTCCAGTTCGTCAATGCGGACTCGATCGGGGCGATATACACGCCCCTCATAGAGAAGGACCCGCCGCTCATCATCTTCTTCGGCAGCCTTATTGTCATGGTGCCAGGGGAGGAGGGATGGTGCGGCTGCGTAGCCTCATCGATCTGAACATGATCAGAGGAAAGATGATATTTGTTCTGGGGAGCCTTGTGCTGGCAGTGCTCCCCCGCCCTGGCAGCCAAGAAAGGGAAAGCGAGGGGATTGTGGAGGGTATGGGGAGCGGACTGGAGGGGGGAGTGGGGAGGGCTCCTCCTCCTCCTCCCTGCTCCTCCTCCTCCTCCTCCTCCTCTTCCTCCTCCACGTCCTATCCCCTACCCATCCTATACTCCCTCCCCCCTCCATTCTCCCTCCCTCCTCTCCCCTCCCCTCTTCGTCCCCCTCCCCCGCCCTGCTCCTCCACCCCATCATTCTCCAGCGCGCGGGCGGGAGCAGGACGACGGGGGGCTGGGGGAGACGATCTTCTGGGGACCCTCGGGACCGGCACCCGCGTGGCGTCACTGCCGCCCACCAGTGACGAGGCTCTCCTCTGGCGTCGCACGTTTTCCTCCACGTCGACTCCTGGGTATCTCGACCGCTTCCAGGGGCCCAGGGCCCTGGGACCGTTTCTCAAGGGTCGAAGACAGACAGATTGGCCGTCGCGTTTTTGTCAGCGGCGCCTGGACCTGCTGAGAGGTGACGTGTTCGAGCCACGAGCCCCGCTGGGCGGCCCCTGGCTCCGCTCATACCGCTCCCGGGCCTGCCGCCCCCTGGGAACTAGGCTCCGCGACGCCTCTCTGACGCGATGGTCGCATCATCTATTTTTCACGAGCGCCCCACACTCCGCAGGAAGCCCATCCAGATTGCTCAGTCTGGGGTCCTCCTCAGCCCGACAAAACCATGTGCCCACCGTCTGGGCATGAAAGAAATGAGGCCAGCCGCTTCCCCCCCCCCCCGTTCTCTGCTGCTCCATCGGTTCTGTCCCCCCGGCCCTCCTCGCCCTGCCCTCCACCGCCCCTCCTCCCTGGGCGAGGGGGGAGGAGGAAGAGGGCGCCGAGGGACGGTGCGCCGGCCCATGCTGCAGGACATCGTGAGCTGCGGATGCCGCGTCGGCGCCGCGCGGAGGGCCCCGTGGGGTCCTGGGTTCGGAGTGGAGGCGGAGAGTGCACGACTTGAGCCTTCAGCAAGCCGAAAACAAGGACAGGGCGTTGTTGCGGATTGCACTGGCAACGTAGAGTGTGACCATGGGGTTGGCTTGACGTGACCACTTCACTTCGTCGCCGTGGTCTTTGGATTTCGTCGTTGTGCGACCACTAGTCTGATTGACCGTGATCACTCCTTCTGTGTTTGCCAACTACGTCCGCCAGAGAGAACACACCGCGCCCGATCGTCTCCCAGCCTGGGGGGCAGGGCTAAGCGATGGAGATTCAAGGTTCGCATGGCCCCCCCGCGCAAAGTGTGAGAAGACTCCGCGGCCACGGCTGTGGGCCCCGTGGTCGGCGCGCTTGTGGGCCCCGCGTGCGCGGCCGTCTCTGGCGCTCGGTGGCGCTTCGCGTTGCCCTGCGGCCGAGGGGCGTGCGCGCGCGGGCGTCCCTTGGGGTCGCGCCCCGCGGCTGGCGTCCTGGGCGAGGGTCTCGTCTTGCCCGAGCCTCTCCTTCCTCCTTCGCTCCTCTTCCTCTTCCTCCTGCTCCCGCCATCTCCGTTTCCTCGCTCATGCCCGCTGCATCAGGCTTCGTGCCGCGCCCACTCCGCGAGTCCCGTCAGCGCCGTCTGGCCCTCCAGGGAGGCACCGCTGTTCCGCGGCAGTCCCCGTGGCCGGTCGGCGGGGGGTGGAGCCCATCGCGGGTGGCAGGGAAGGGGGGCGGCATCGCTGGCGAGCGGGCAGGGTCGGCGAGGAGAGGGAGCAGGCGGGGGAGGAGGTGCAGGGGAATGGGGGCGTGGGCCCGAGATGCAACGTCGCGCGCCATTGGAGTGATTACCCTGGCCACAGTGATCGCGCAGTGAGCGCATCGCGCACCCGCCCGTTATCTCCGACGGCGGAATCCGCGCCGCCGCTACACCCCATTTGCAGTCGGCTGGAGAACGATTCTGCTCCTCGCGCGCAAAAGCAACATCGGATCATATAAAAGATAGTGGGCGGCCTTGTGGGGATCAAGGTTGCTTAGAGGTCTACCTTCGTATGGTAGTACAACGAATATTGTAGTCGCGACGTGAACGCGAGGCCCAGCCAACCTCTACCGACGGGGCCATCACGCCTATTAGGCTCCAGGCCCCCCCGCGGCGCGCACAGGCGCGCACCACATAGAAGGCAACCGCATGGAAGGTAAATTTGTCGGACCTCGGCGCAGTTTTTTTTGGATCGGCGCCAGGCCTCCCTGTGGGTGTTTCTCACGCCGCCCCTGGCGCGCCCCGCAAGCCAGGGAGGGGTCCGGCGCTTGTCCACGAAACCTGTGCGTAGCTCCGAACGTTTTTGTTCTTGTTGGTTCTTCCCTTCCTCTAGAGGGGAAGGTGCGCGGAGGTGGGCCAGGGGAACGGGAGGGGACGGAAATGGGGGCGGGGACTCGGGCGCGCATGGCCAGGAAGAGAGCCGGGGGATCGCCAACATCTTCATTTCCCCTTTGCTGCTTCTGGCCTCACCCAGAAGTGCGGGGCAGGGAAGAGAGGGGAGGGTGGGAGTGCAAGGGGCGAGGGGAGGGAACGTGGAGGTTATTGTTTCTACTGTCCCCCGCAGGTTCGGGGCTCGTCGGGTGGGGCGCTATTCCAAGGTGGGAGTAGGGAGCGAACCCAGCTGAATGCTCACATTTCCTTCTTCTGGGAGCCGTTTAGAGCGACTTCTCGCTAACCCCAATCTGCCCCTACCCCACCTTCGCGTCCCCCCGACAGGTAACTGTCCTGCTGATGAACCTCGTTACCGCCTGTGTAGTTGAATCCGCAGTGAAGACGAGCACGGAGGATGCCGAGATGGCCCGGGCCCGCGTCACGAAACAGATCATGAACATGGCGCCCAAAGTGGAGGCCGCCTTCAACGACCTCGACATGTCCAAGGACGGATTCCTGGTGAAAGAGGAGCTCCGGGTTCAAATCAGAGGCCACGTTCGCATTTCATACCACGATGTTGTCAGAAAGAGAAACCCGTCATAAAAAGGTAAACTTGCGGAATTCCGCGCGGATTTCTTTGATCGGCGCTGATTGTGCTTTTTGTGTGGTGTAAGCCACAGTGGAAGGCGAGGAATCTGTAGGTCTTTTCAGCGCTTGGATTTGCAATGCAATGGGTCCTCTGGCGGTCTCCCTCCTCCTCAACATTGTCTAGTCGTCCCTCTTTCTTCTCCCTCCTCCCCAGTCTGAGAGGGGCGATGCGCGATGAGGAGGGTGACGGAAGAGGACGAGGGTCGAGGAGGGTGAATATGGGGGGTATTGAGTTAAGGCCTCGACAGTGTAATGGTTTGTGTTCTCCCCAGGAGTTGATCCACCTATCCAGACACATGGAGCACGTCCATCTTCCGCAGGAGCTCGCCAGACTGCTGCAGCCAGACAAGATGATAGACCTGTTCGACGTGCTGGACCTAGACCAGGACCGGCCAGAATTGTTGCACACAGCATTCCTAGCTGTCCCGTCGTTCAGTGAACCACTTACGAGAAAGTTGCAGACAGGATCTGTACTGTGCGTTTGGAGTTTCGGGCTGATTCTCGGTGCATCCAGGTGTCCTCAATGTCCCCCGGTGGTGGGTGAGGGGTGGGGTGATCGGTGACCCAGGTCGGATGGATGTGCGGACGCGTGTGCTCACACAGGCACATTTGACTGTAGATTATCTCAACCAGTTAGCTTGATGGATGGGTGGTTCCTTGGCTCAATTACCCTGCGCGGTGGGGTCCTGCGCAGAGGCCCATAGGGCCCTGCCACAGGGTGCCAGGCTCTTGTGATTTGCGCAATGGTCTTACCCGATGGACCGCAGAGTGTTGCCAGTAGGATCATGGTTTCAGCATTTGTTGTGTGCTGCGTATTTTCTTTATCTTCCACTCCTTCTTTACCCCCAGTCTGCATCGAGCATGACATGAGTGTCAGCATCATCCAACGTCAGCCCAGCCACTATCACATTCAGCGTCGCTTGACTACTGCACCTGCTACCGTGGTTTACCAGCTCTAGTTTAGTTATATGGATGCATGGGGTTGTATCTATTCAACGCATGCGTGGTGACTCAATTGATATACAGTTTGGAGGCACTATGCTTGCGCCAGGCAGACAGGGACAAGTTCGACGCTTTCCAAGCACAATGCTTGCGCAATATATTTGGCTTCCCACACTCAATGATCTCTCGGGTCAGCAACGAAGCGGTGCGTAATATGTTGCGCCAGTACAAGATTAGCTTACGTATTCTTTCAAGCCAGCTGGTGTGTTGTGACAAGTTGGCATCAGCATATGACCCGAATTTGCAACGTTCATACGTATTCCAGAAAAGGAGGCTCCGCGTTGGTCGACTATGGCCGGCGAGGGCGAGGCCGCCCGAGGTTGCAGTGGGCCATAGTCATGCAAGCGCATTCGCAGATGATTGAACAGATCCACGGACAAGCCTCCTTTCATGGCGAAGCATGGCGGAAGGAGACCGTTTCCTTATGGTTTGGGGCATGACGGGCGTCATGGCCCCCGCTCCCCCCCCTATGACGTAACGCCTCCCCCCCCAGTGTGCTCTGGGCACTGCCGCCGTGCGCATTGGGATCCGCGTAGGTGTCCGCGTAGGAATCCGCATAGAAGTTTGGTCCGCAGTCGTCGTCGTCGTCGTCGTCGTCGTCGTCGTCGTCGTCGTCGTCGTCGTCGTCGTCGCCCGTGGCTTGTCGCTCGTCGCTCATAGTCGTCGTGCGTTCGGACGCGGCTGAAGCCTGTTTTTTTATTCCAGGCCGGTGACGGCAATCATCCAGGGGGGGGGGTGAAAAGGGGGTCGATGACGTCACGTTTCGCACAGGCGGCGTATGGGAATGCCTACGAATGACGGAGGACGGGTAGCGCCAGCATGTAGGTGGCGATTTGCACCACAACGCCTGTGCACACCACAGTGTCTTTGTGCACCACAGCGCCTGTGTACACCACGCCGCATATGTACACCACAACAGCCGCGTGCAACACAGCGTCTGTTTCGTGCCACCGTGCCTGCGGGCACAACAGTTCTTGTATACACCACAGCGCTTGCGTACACCACGTCCGCCGTGTGCAACACAGCACCAGTGTACAATGCCTGCGTGCATTGCAGTGTCTGTGTGCACCACGGCGCCTGTGTTCACCACAGCAACAGTGTGCAACACAACACCACTTTTGTATACACAATGTTGGAGCAAATCCTTATGACAAAATGGAGCGCTTGTGGATCCCACAGAAAACAATAGAAAATAAGCCTTATGGACAACGGAGCCCCGCTGGAATCTACGAGTTCCCCGAGTCCGCCCGCATCACCCTAATTCCTCCCATTCGCGTCCAGGAGGCTCCAGGTAAATTGGCCGTCCGAGAACCAAGGCTGACCGATTCAATAAAACATTATGCGGTTCGCGCTGAGATGCGCACGTGCGCTGTAGCGCCAACCCGCACGACAGGGGGTAAGGGGGAGGAGGGGGGGAGGAGGAGGAGGAGGAGGAAGAGGAGGGGGAGGAGGAAAAGGAAGAGGAATAGGAGGAGGAGGTGGAGGAGGAGGTGGAGGAGGTGGAGGAGGAGGGAGGAGGGAAGAACGTCGCATTCGATTATAAGCATTTTCCTGGCGTGGCGTCTAGTTGTCCGCATCAAATCCTCACGTACATGCTCCTCCTACCAGTCCTATGCACGCAGGCATTGTGGTGTACACCAGCGTTGCGTTGCACGCGGATGTTGTGGTGTAGACACGCGTTGTGGCGTGCACAGGCGCTGCGGTGCACGCAATCGTTGTGGTGTACACATGCGCTGCGTTGCACATGGTAGCTGCAGTACATGTACACCGGCGCTGTAGTGTACGCAAGCACTTGTGGTGTACACAAGCGCTGTGTTGCACACGGTTGTTGCGGTGTACGCAGGCTTTGTGGTATACGCGCGCGCTGTGTGTTGCACGCGGTCGTTGTGGCGTACACAGGCGCAGTGGGGCATATCGCCACCTGCATGCTGCTCGCGTCGTGTTCGTCGTCGTCGTCGTCATCGTCGTCTCGTCGCTCGTCGCTCGTCGCGTCGCGCGCGCAGGCGCGGCTGCGGTGCCGGAGCCACACGGCGGGGGGGGCGTTACGTCATCCCCCCCCTCGCCCCCCCCCCCCCCCCCCCATGACGCCCGTCATAGAGAACATGAAGAAACGCTTTCAAGGCTGTGTGCAAGTACGTATATCATTTACACCAGATTCTGAGGATCACTCTTCCTCCCTTCCCCCCTCGCCCATCGGCCTCGTCTTCCTCCTCCTCTTCCTCCACCTCCTCTCTGGCGGAGAACATATCAGTTTATACATTGTCATCGTTATTTTTCCAGGCTGCTTACGACCACGCCGCTGCGAGCTGGGCGGCTGCCTTCTGCCAGCGGCAGTGCGTGCAGCACCCGCGCAGTGCAACCAACGTGCTGTCCAAGGCACGGTTCTGATGTGACTTGACTTGAGTTTAGTCAATATAGTCACAGGTAGAGTAGCAGAAGCTGAGCAGAATGAGAGTACCCAGGATATCCAGCGACCCGCGGCAAAACTCGCCTCCGTGGCAGCGCAGCGTCGACATCCATGCAGGATTGACCTGTCGATACCTCCCGAATAGGTCCATCTGGGGGCTGTCCAGAAGGCAGCGCTACGATGCTGTAGCGTGCCGCGGCTGTAATGTTTCATCGCCTTTCGTTACCGTACGGAAGCTTATTGGAGGCGTCTTGGCGGCTTCGGGGTGCATTCACGAACTCAGGACTCCCTACCCCCTTCTCGGAATCCAATTATGCAACCCCGAGTGGGGCGGGGAACAGGCGGATGGGATGCGCAGGTTTCATGCGCCGTGCCACTCGGGCAATCGGGATCACCGGATAACGTAGTGGACGCGTGTGCAGTGTGCACACACGCGCACACCTACGCGCGAAGCCAAGCCAGAAAAGCACCCAGCTTCGCTGCGGGATGCATTGTTGCGCAATGTACGCATGTCAAGTTCGCAGGAGCCCAAGGCGCCAGAGGGATTGCGGCGAGTTGACTGCCTCTCTCAACAGGATGGCATGGTCACCGCCCCAGAGTTCATCGAGGGTATCTGCACCCTGGCGTTTTCTCACGTGCCCACCGAGACCATGCAGATGTTGCATTTATCCAGCTGCCTGCGGCCCGGCCCGCTATGGTGCCAGCGCAGCACCGCAGCAGGAAGGAGGTTGAGCTGAAGATCCACCCCAGTTCAGTGCCCCGATTGAATTGGCGCAGTGGAACAGTCCCTCCTTGTCCGCAATCCCGCTACCCTACTCCTTCAGCTTCGAGGCCTTGCTTGGGCGTCTTTGAGGCTTCTCGGAGCCCTCGGAGCCCTCTCGAGGGCTTCTTCGGAGCATGTCTGAGGCCCTGTGGCGGATCTCGGGGCCGTCTTCGGCGCGAGGGCTCCACAGAGCCCTCCCGGAGACGCTCGGCTGAACATCATTCAGGAGGAAAGAGGAGGGGCAATCCTGGGATTAAGTCGGGCACGTCCCTCTACAGGAGGAGCATTCCAACATAATCAAATAATAGCCTGGCGACGATTTTTTAATATTTGTTTGTCTATGTTGGTGTTTTTCTTGTAATGTAATTTTTCGCCCAAAATCCGCCTGTAGGGGGACATGTCCGACCTCGTCCTGGGATTTGTCAATGTTTATTTGTGTGTCCCTGGGCCTCTTTAATATTGGGGACGTCTGGGCGGGTCTTAGGCGGTCTTGGAGCCCTCCAGGGCCGTGTTGGACGGTTCTCGAGCGGTTTGGGGGTTGTCTTGGGGCACTCCTGGGCTTGTTTTCGGCCGTGCATGGGGTTCTTCGGAGCTGTCTGGAGGTTCCCCGAGTCGATGTGAAACCGAAACATTTCGGAGGCGAACATACACTGATGCCAATGTTTGTTGTCATTGTCATTGTGATTTCCATCGTAAGGCCTCGCTGGGAACCTTTGTAGGTGTCTCTTGGAGACTTCTTGACGCCTCTTTGGCATCTCTGGGAGATACTCTCTCATTTGGAGAAACGTTGGGCCTTTTTGGGATTGTCCTTGGGAATGTTTCAAACCTTATTGTGGCGTTCTTGAGATTGGACTGGAGCTCTCCTGATGCCTATACGAGCAAGAGAGCAAACTATTGTTGCTGAGCGTGACCAGGTGGGTCGGTTTTCGGAGAGTGCGCGGGGCGGCAACCAGAAGGACATGCCAGCATTCGAACACGGCCCAACGTTCCGAAGATACGGTGGCGGATTAAGGAGTCAGCATCATAGGCTTGTGGCCGTGTGCGACGATGTGCGCGCGATGCAGAACATGATGTCCAAGCAGCAGGATGCCCTTCCTCATTGTTTCTATTATGTCAAGCGTCGTGTCGTGTGGACGCGGCGGCGACCCCAGCGCGTGCGTTCAAGGTTGAATGTCCCCAGTAGCTCGTAATCTGTTGACATTGAACGATCTGCAGGACTAGAAAGACGCGATCGTTCTAGGTTGAACGATGCACGTGGTTCCAGAAGCCAACGCAAGTGTCGCCATTTCGATCCGATCGACCCGATCCGATATGGATTCTGGCTGGCCCGATCCGATTTGATTCCGATCTTGGGAAGGCCTTGCGGCCAGCGCCGCCGACCCTGAAGGGGGACGACGACGACGACGACGGCGGCGTGCGGCCTCTGTGGAGCGCGCTCGTAGGCCTCCAGGGGGCAGGTTGGGGGCGTCTAGGGAACCGCTTGGGGGTTCTTTTCGGGCTTTCTGGAGTTCTCTTGGGGGCCTCTTGGAGCCTTTTGGGGGCTTCTCGGGGACCTCTTGGGGCCTCCTGGGAGCTTCTCGGGTCCGAGGACTCGACATTTTCGTTCGTGCTCCCGTGTGGACACCCTCTTGGAGCCGTTTTGGGGGCCTCTGGGCCGTCTGGGAGGCCTCTAGAGGTGTCTTGGGGCCCTCCTCTTGGGTCGTTCTGGGGCTGTCTTGGAAATCTCTTGGGGGCCTCTCGTGCCGATCTTGGTGGTATCTTGTGCCGTCTTGCGGCGTCGGGGATCCGAAACGGCGAGAACTCCAGTATCTCTCAACAACTTAAAATGGAAATCATTATATTTTGCCTGTTAGGGCCCACTTGGTGTGCTCTTGGAGGCTTCTTCTGGCGTCTTGGCAGGCGCTTGGGCTGCGAGGAGGCCATCTTTGGCGTCTTGGACCGATCGTTCGGCGATTCGGAGCCCTCTTGGACCGTCTTGAGGGTCTTTGGAGCTATCTAGGGGCCTTCTTGGGCCCCTGTCAGATTGAGGGGGCCGAACGGTCATTCATTGTCCCTGGGTGCGTGGATGAAGTGAGATTCCGCGGTGCGGATTCGTGTTGTTGTTGTTGCTGTTGTTGTTGTTGTTGTTGTTGTTGTTGTTGTTGTTGTTTGTTGTTGTTGTTGTTGTTGTTGTTGTTGTTGTTGTTTGTTGTTGTTTGTTGTCGTCGTCCCACCCGCAACCCGCCCCGCGACCCACCCGCGACCCACCCCGCGACCCCCACCCGACGACCCACCGCGACCCACCCGCGACCCACCCGCGACCCCCACCCGGGTCCCACCGCGACCCACCGCGACCCCATCCGCGACCCACCCTGGACCCACCCGCGACCCACCCGCGAACCACCCGCGACCCACCCCGCGACCCACCCCGCGACCCACCCCGCGACCCACCCCGCGACCCACCCCGCGACCCACACCGCGGCCCGCCCGCGGCCCACCCCGCGACCCACCCGCGACCCACCCGCGACCCACCCGGGACCCACCCGCGACCCACCCGCGACCCACCCCGCGACCCACCCGCGACCCACCTTCGACCCAAACCACGTTCAAGGTACAAACCACAATTATCGGCGCCTGCGGCGGGCTTTTTTTGCATTCCTTCCAGGTGGAGAGCCCGCGACCCACCCCGTGACCAACTTGCGACCAACCCGCGACCCAAATCACGTTCAGGGTACAAACAACATTTTTCGGCGCCTGCGGCGGGCATCTTTTGCATTCGTCTCAGGTGGAGAGCCCGCGGCCCACCCGCGACCACGTTCAGGGTACAAACCACATTTTTCGGCGCCTGCGGCGGACATTTTTTTGCATTCGTTCCCGGTGGAGAACCCGCGGCCCACCCGCGACCCAAACCACGCTCAGCGTACAAACCAATTTTTTTGGCGCCTGCGGCGGGCTGCTTTTGCA